AGAGACCCAGGAAAGACAAATAAAGGCAAAGATGCAAAATGGCCACCAACTGTGCCGGGGACACACTTGTCTCTGGAGGTTTCCCTGACCTTCTTGCCTCCTCTGCCATAACACCTAATGCCTGCCTCCAAGACTCAGTCATAACAAACACTTATGTCTAGTGTTTATTCCAGGCAACTCACTCTATCCTCACAACGACCCTATAAGCAGGTTCTGCTATTATCTTCATTTTGTTGATGGAGAAATAGAAACAGAGAGGTTAAGGAATTTGCCCAAGGTCTCACACCTAGTGAGTGGCAGAGCTAGGGTTCAGATCTAAGCAATCTGGCCCAGAATCTACACTTGTAACCACATGCTGTACAATTAACACCGTCTGCTGAAGGGCTCCTTTTCCTTCTCGGTTTCTGACCGTCAATTCCTGAAGGTCAAGGACTTGGTTTCATGCACTGTTGTATCCACTCTCCTAAGCTGAGTGCCTGGCACATGGTGGATCCGCAGCAACTGTTTGTTAAACTGAACCAGATTTCTGAGACTCCAGAAATCCCCTCTAGCTGGCAGAGATCTCATCCCACCAATCCCTACTCACCCAATAGGCTTGTTCTCGTGAGCAGTGTCCCCTACTGAGTATTTATTTCTCTTTCCCTTCCTCCCACCCCCAACCCCCAAACCCCAAAGGAACTCCCATTTGATTAAATCCTTAGCAATCAGAAATATTAACTTATGCTTATATGAATAGTTTGTAACATGTTTCTTCTCTTGGTGAGATTTTCTGACCCCAATGCAAAAATACAAATTCATGAACTGAGACAATTCAGCAATTCTTTACAGTCTGATTCATGGAAAGTTGGGGCAAACCATGACTTTAGAGACCATCAAGTTCAATCTCTTCATTCTACAAAGGAAGAACCTGAGTCCCAGAGAGGGAAGTGACTGGTCCTCTATCAGAGCATTCAGCCAGTTAGAAGCAGAGCCAGCTCTCTCTAGCCTCTACTGATGGATCACAAATGATTCTTCCCTTCAGAAAGTCTGAGATGGAAGGATTGCTGCAGGGGTGGTGCTGGGGTAGCAGGACCTTCCCAAATCATTCCATGGAGATGGCCACCTACTTGGCTGTCCCCTGCCTAGTTACCTAATGTTGGTTCCTCGCAATCTGGGCCAGAGGTGGGGAGCTTCTGGTGGGGAGCCAGAAGCCAAATATCACAAGGGCCTCACCTCATGTGTGCTTATCGTTTCAGTACAAATAGCATCAATTTTCCGTAAACGAATTTTAAGATCTTTGATTTGACAGACAAAAAAAAAAAAGCATTTATTTGTTTCAAGTCTTGAATTTTGGGGAACATTCCAGTTCAGTACATTTTTCTCCTAGCTAGTCCTCTCTGTTGGCTGCCCGTAAAATGCTGTTATTCTTCATGGCCCCATTCCCTTGTTTTTCACCTACACATTTTTTTCCCTGACTGATCTCATCCACTCTCACGGCTTCGGCTTCTAACTTGTCCCTCACATCCTGATCTACCGGCAGTTCTTTCCCCCGAGCCCCACCTCTTCATAGGGAATGTCTCCTGGGCATCTTCCCCTGGATGACACACAGCCTGTTAGGCTCCATAACTTTTAGGAAGCCGTCATAATCCTTTTTCTTTGAGGCCTCCCCTATACCTACCCTCCCAGACTGATCAATATCCCTGAAGTACTCTCACAGCGCTCTGTGCCTACAATTTATTATCACTGATAATAGCTGTGATGTTTCAACTGAACTGGGCCATGGGGTGCCCAAGTACTTGATCAAACATTATTCTAGGTGTTTCTGGGAGGGTGTTTTGGGATGAGATTATCATTGAAATCTGTAGACTGAGTAAAGCACATTGCCCTCTGTAATGTAAGTGGGCCTCGTCCAAACACTTTAAGTCCTGAATAGAACAAACAAAGGTTGATCCTCCCCCCCCAAATAGGGACAATTTTCCTACCTACTCGCCTTTAAACTGGGACATTGGCTCTGCGGTGGGACTTGAATATCAACTCTGCAGATTTCTGACTTACCAGCCACCATGGTCCCGTGACCTAATTCCTTATAATAAATCTCATATATCTTATTGATTCTGTTTCTCTGGAGAACCCCGACTAATACAATAGTAATAGCTATCTATTGCCTTGTTTTATCATGTGCTATAAGCACAAATCTATCCTGACTACACTTAACCCTCTCTATAACCACAAGTGGTAGGTATTATCTCTATTTTCTGGATAACGAATGAGGCTCAGTGGGATAGTAACACGTCCAAGGTGCCCTCATTCCAAGCTCTAGCACTGTGACGTACTGATAGGACCCATCAATTTGCTGGCTACCTGTGTGTCATGTCACCCTCACCAAACTGGAGGTTCCCTTTTCTCTCTCTGCATCACTCAAACTCATTATATCCAAAACATACTATTTCACCTTTTCCTCCACACTGCTTAGGACAGGTATTCCATTTGTCTGAGGAAGAGAAGCTAGGGAGAGTGGAGAGGACTAGAGATCCTAGATTTGGGGTACTCTGTAAAATGTTACTGCAAACGTGCAAAAAAAGTGATGGAAACTTCCCACCACCAACATTCTCAGTATGATACCTCATGCCCGCCCATCCCATCACGTTAATATCTTCCTTGACAATATTTTCAAGTCTGCGCATTAATTAACTCTTTAATTTTAACCCAGAAAAGACATGAACTCCAGTTTTGTGATGAAAGTCCGTGGAAAACAGAAAGCACTTCATCCACTCATTTATTCAGCCTTCCTATTTGAATAGCTACCTTTTGCCAACTGTTGGGCTATGCACTGAGATTGACGGATATTTCTAAATTACAGATACAGGTAGATCATTCCTCGTGAGAAGTATATGTTCTTATATATACTTCTTATTATATACAGGTAATATGCCTGTAAGTCATATTGCCAGGCATATTTTATTTTCAGAAAAAGAAATGGTGTGAGATGCGCTCTACAATGCAAGATAGGTTTTAGGGCATTTGAAGTCATTGAAGATTTTTTGAGCAGTATTTGAAGTCTGAGAGCATTATGAAGAATGAATTAGAGGGAAAAAAGGAGAGACAGACCAAAGGAAAGGACATCAATTAAGGAGCAATCGCAGTAAGCTGGAGAATCTTGTTATCAGGCCTAAGTTAATAGTGTTCTGGCCTCAGGTACTGAAAGGAGTGAAGGGGGTGGGGTGGGTGAAAAACTATTGCAGAGAAGAATAGACTGGATGTGGTGACTCGAAGATGTTAGGGAAGGAAGAAAAAGTGACTCTAGGCATTTGTGTGTGTGTGACAGAAGAATGGAACTTTGGAAGAGGGAAGGGTTTGGTGGGAAAAGCCCTGTTTCAGATACACTCAGAGTGTGGAAACATGGTCTCTGGTGGGGCTGCCTGGGGGAAGATGGGTGACCTGGAATATAGGATTACACAAACCATGTCTTCTTATACAAATCACCCCTTCAGCTGATTCACGGAAATACTATCCATACAATCACTTAAAATGATATCGTTGGAAGTATATTAACATGAAATGAAGTTTGCATATTATGTAGAAAAAGCCGGTGAGAAGTCTAGAAGGACTTACCCCAAATGTTAATAGTGATTATCTCTGGGTGGTATGATTATGGGTGATTTTGTTTTTCTTCTCTTATGAATGGCTTTTTTTTTAAAGATTTTTATTGGGGAATTGGGGGAAGGGGAACAGACAAGTTGCTGTCCTTTTGTTCTTCAGTCTAGTTGTGGAGGACGTTGCTTCACTGACCCAAGTTGGCACCATCATTGCGCTCTTCCCGGGCGAGGCAGATCAGTTGCCGGCTTCTGGATGGCCGCTAACTGTGGCTGCTGGCCGCTCACGCTGACTGCTGGCTACATATGGTAGCCTATGGCAACCCACTGCCGCAGGGGCTGCAGCCTACGCCGACGCCGGCGACTCACGGCAGCCCAGCTCCAGGTTGAGCTGTTGTTTAGCATCTTAGCTGTGGAGGGCAGTGTCACTGGCCCTCATATGTGGGATCCGAACTGGGGCCCTCTGGCATCCCGAGCCAGTTCTTAACCATCGCGCCAGTTGGCCAGCCCATGAATGGCTTTTTAAAACGTTTAGCATACACATGCGACTTGTGCCCTCATCTGAGACTGTCCCCAGGTCAGGAGCTGACCGGGGTCTGCTGCTCCTTTCAGTCAGGGTGGCTCACCATCTCATGGGCTGGTGTCCCGGAGCTTTCCGTAACTCTCCTTGTGAAGAACGCCCCCTCCCTGCTGACAGAGCAGCCGGCAAACAGCAGTTTCCACAGCTCAGCCATCCTCAGCAGTGTCAGACCCCTCCCCAGATGGCAAAGGGCCCCACCTGCACTGTGCGGCTGGGAGGGGAGCAGGGACATCATGGGTACTGTCCTCAGCCCCACCCTGGGAGGCACCCTCCATTTTGAAGAAGTCAGGCTCAGAAGCCATGTGGGGAGAACAGTGAGGGGGGAGGTGTGACTCTGCCCAACCCAGGAAACCCAGAGCCTGTGTTTCCTCGATGAGCAGTGGCCTCCGATGGCCCTGAGTGGCCTCCGATGGCCCTGCCCAATCTCTCTAATCTGTCCCCATTTCCCAAGAACTCTTGGAGTGTGGGAACCTTTCCCCAGACCTTCCTGAGGCAATCAAATGAGCTTGGGATTGGCATCCAAGGGGGAGAATTTGCAATCTGGCCCCCACCTACTAATGGAGTGTGAGTGGGCATTGCCACTCGGCATGTCATAACTCTTCTAACCCTCGCTCCAACCCTAAGAGGCTGGTGACTGTTACGTACTGTCTCCTGTCTCGGCGGTTCCCCTCCCATCCTGCGCTTCTCTCTAGCTGCCACCCTACAATGTCCTCTTTGCTGTTCTTATCACTTGATATTATCATTTGTTTGCCTACTGTGTCCCTACCAGGCAGAGGGCTCCATACTCCATTTCTCTATTTCCAGTATTTTTTACATACTAGGTCCTCAATAAATTGCTTCTTGCATAAATTAATAAATGAATAAACAGATGAGGAAGGCCAGGCATAGGAGTAGCTCGCTTCATAAGTCTGCTAAGGAAAGACAAATGGTGGTTGGAAACAGGACCAAATAAAGAGGAATGTGTATTTCTGTGTGTGCTCGTTTTATGTGGGGGATGGCTCAGACCTGACCAAAAGTGGTCCCAGTACAGAGGACAGGTTTTGAGGATAGGGGAGAGCTAATCATGTTTGCAGACTGTGGGGGAAAGCCCGTGGTAAAGGAAGAAGCAAGGCATAGGCGTGGGGACATGGCTGAAGCAAGAGCCTGTGAGGAAAAGTCAGGATGGGCCTGAGAGCGGACGGAGAGGCGGGAGCCCTCTCCTCGCCAGCTTGGCCCTGTCCTTCACAGCTGCCACCTGCTCTCTTACCTAAACTCCCCTCAGCGGGGGGTTCCACCTCCTCAGGCACCAGCATGTCCATTGCCACCTCAGCTACTGGGGGGTAAGAGTGGGGGGAACATGTGCTGCTGCTCCTGTCAGTAATTCCTGGACTCTGGTGGCGGTAGGATTGCTACCCAGATGCTAATAATTCCTCTCTTAGGCCATGGAACAGAGCCACCATGGGCCCTTGGTTCTCTTACAGTCACCTGACCTCCAGATCTCCATCCTTTGTCTTTCTCCTTCTACTTATTATCGTTCCCTCCTCCACTCTTAGCCCTGACAGACTCCGAAGACATTGTGCATAAGATCCTATTACTTTTACCTATACTGGGCATGAAATGGTCAAAGAAAAACTCTGTGTGTGTGTGTGTGTGTGTGTGTGTGTGTGTGTGTGTGTGTGTGTGTGTGTTAATGGTGGTGGTGGTGGTGCTCGGAGGGGGTTCAATGAGGGAGAATTTGTTTTTAGCTCAGATCTCAATCAGGATGTTATTCACTCCAGCAAAGGCACTAAATAGACTGGGTCAGAGAACAAAGATGGGTCACTGCATGCTCAGAGAAGTGTAAAGAGCCGGCTGGAGCCGCTGCTCCTTGCAATTTAAGAGAGAGAAGCTGCTTCAGAATAATAATCAGGGTAGGCAGACAGAATTTTACAGAGCTTTCTATCCAATTATTCATTTGACAAATAGTTAGGTGCTCACTATGTGCTAGACACTAGAGATATAATCTCATCAAAACAGATCAAAATCCCCACCCTAAGGGATCTTACAGCCTAGCGTAGGGAGACCAAAAATTAACATCTGAAATAGGTTATTGATAGGGGATGTGTGCAGGTGACAATATAATACTATGGAAAAAAAGAGAGTGAAGGTGTGGTCTCCAAGATGGCCCCCAGTGTTCCCACCCCCTGGAAACACACCTCGTGTTTCCTCCCACCTTGAACAGGACTGGCCTGTGACATTAAGAGGGTGGTGCAGAAGTGATGGCGTGTGGCTTCCATGGACAGGTTATTCAAGACATTGCAGCTGCTGCTGGCTACCTCTCGGCTTGTTCTGGGGAAGCCAGCTGCCATGTCACGAGGCACACTCAAGCAGCCTGGGAAGAGGTCTGTGTGGGGAGACGCTGAGGCTTCCTGCCAACAGCCACTAGAATAAGTCATCTTAGAAACGAACCCTCCGGCCCCAGGGACGCCTGCAGGTGACTGCTGCAGTCTGGAGTGACATGTGACTGCAACCTCTTAGGAGACCCCCAGGCAGAACCACCCACACTCCCTAACTCCTGACCTACAGAAACTGTGAGAGATACGTCTCTTGTTTTAAACTGGTTTGGGGGTAATTTGTTACACAGCAATAGTTAACTAATACAAAAGAGGCCCAGGAGTGACAGCCTGGTAGGGCGGCGATGGTCAGAGCAGACCTCAGTAAAAGGTGACACTCCAGTGGGGATTTTAAAGGGATACGCAGACATCATGGGGAGAGCATCGTAGGCAGAGGAAACAGCCAGGACAAAAGTCGGAGGAGACGATGTGCCTGGAGGACCAGAGAAACAGTGAAGGCTGTGGGGCTGGAGGGGGGACAGCAGGGACAGGAGTTAGAGATAAGGTGGGAGAGGTAATAGAGGCAGAAGCAGTGGCCAGTCACGAAAAATGAGAAATGACTATTGCATTCAGCTCCGTAGAAGTCACTGTTGACCTCTGACTAATGGAGATAAACACCTGCTTGGAGTGGGTGGCGAGATAATGGGAGAAAGGCATGGCAGGCAGCAACCCTTCCGAGGGGGTTTGCCGTAAAGGGGAAAAGAGAAATGGGATGGAGCTGAAGAAGAAAGTGGGGCCAAGGGAAGATTTATTTCTTCGACGGGGGAAGTGACAGCATGTGGGCAGGCTGGTGAGAATGATCCAGTGACAACAGATGACAAGGAGACAAGGACAGGGAGAAGTGCCTGAGTAGGTGGCAGGGGACCCTGGCAGGAGGGTAGAGGCAGGGCTGGGAGGCTGTGGCTGTTCCGGTCTGATTATTTCTCTTTGCTCATTGGAGGAAGTCAGAGATTTTTCTTGGCCGTGCACGGATAAAAACTGTGCATAAAATGAACGAGGATATAATACAGACCAGGAATAAAGGTTCCAGTGGAAGAAAGACACATCTCAACATGGTCTATTATTTAGCGGGGGAAATAACGGCACATAGAAGAGAATCTACAGAATGAGAAGAAGGGAATTATGAATTCGACAAGAACACAGGCATTCTTGCAGCCAGACCTAAGGACTTTTACCAGCTCATTACCGAGTCTACTTTATATCCTTTATATAATAGTTCGCATATGCATTTGTGTGGGAGTTAGCCATGTGGCAAAATGTATTAAGTTCTAATCCCAGAATGTGAGTTTAGCAATTCTAGTTTCTTCCATCGTATAAAGTCCCAAGGTAAAAAGACTCTGTGAAGTCATGTTTGAGAGATATCTGGATTGGATGGGCCTTATCTGACTTGAGAGGTCCACAGGCAGGAGTGCAACGTGGCCAGGACAAACAAAGACAGACAGCGCCCTGGAGTTTTACCAGGAGGGTATACCGCGCTCTATATCGTTACACAATGTTATATTCAAAATCTCTCCACTTACCCCAAACATGTCCCTGGGTTGAGTTGGTACACTTGTCCAGGCCTTTTTTCCAGGTAAAATATTTCAGTTTGGATCATTAAAAGGTATTCCTTGTATTGGCTTCAGTGATTAAAATGGGGATCAGTCATCAGTGCCAACTGGTCCTGGTCCCCTCTACTAAGCCCGCATTCGAACAGGGCCCGTGGCCGGCTGGTCCAACTGCTCGGACACACTCAGGTTTGTTTGGGCTCCCTACATAGGCAGGCGACTCAGTTCCTCCACCCTGGACCCTCCTACACACTCTTTGTTCCATAACCTGAGGGGAAGATAATTCTTTTTTATAAGACCCATTTATGATACGTTAAATCCCCTGCTGACTGTCCCCGGAATACCAGGAGTTATTTCAAAGTCTCCTTAGGTGGCCCTGGGGGAGGTTGGTGGAAAAACGGGCGGGTGGAGTATTTGACTCATGTTTGAAAATTGTTCAATAGACTTTTTTTAAAAAATGTGATTCCTTCTGTATGTGACTTTCATTTAAACACAAAGCGTCTCTTTATTTAAGTAAAAAAAAGATCCTTATTGTGCTAACAATTGTGCATTACCAAAGCCCTCAAATTAAATTGTCAGAAAATTGAAAAAATGAGGCTATTAAGATATTTGAGTTATTTACTGAAGCTGAATGAGGGGAAAAATACAGTTCCAGATTCCTCCCATCTCCTACCTCCTTCCACTTCTCTCGTGCTTTCTTTCTCTCTCTCTCTCTCTCTCTCTCTCTCTCTCTCTCTCTCTCTCTCCCTCCCTCTCTCCCTCCTTCCTGTCTGTCTGTCTCTCTCTCTCAATCACACTTTGACTGGGGAAATAGCTTTGGAGAATGACATGCGGGCACCTTGGGAACACGATCCTGCCATGGCTTTAACTGACTGCCATATGGACCCTCAGTGTAGGGTTTGTCCTCTACCCTGCTTTACTTCTCGCCATCTCGCAACTTCATTCTCCGGGAATAGCAGCACACACCACACGCTGTGCCTTAAGTTAAGCGTGGCCATAACCACATTTCTTCACTCCCCAAACATGAGTAACCCTGGTCTGAATGTGTAATAAATGCTCTTGGGACAAGGGACATACAACAGAGAGAGTAGCTGACAAATGCTGTTGCATCTCCATGCCCGGAATCTAGGCCCCACTTCCGCCAGACCCAAGGTCCTCCCATCTTCAGTCCGGAGCTCACCTCATTTCCTTGCCTCTGTAGATGGCACATCCAGTATCTTCCATCCTCTCCAGGGTACTTTGTGACACCTATTTGTGACCAAAAAAAAAAATGGTACTACATAAAACCAGGTGGCACACCAACCACCTAGCCTACGTCCGCCCCAGTTTGTTCCCTGGTGTGCAGTCAAGAATCACTCAGGCATCTGTGTCCCACCAGCCATAACCTGATCTCCTGGTCCTAGGGTACAAATGCTTGAGCAAAATCCCATCCTTGCCTTTCACGCAAACACGGTTTTCAGAGTAGCACGATCACAGGCAAGTGCAGGAGGAGCGGGTGACAGATCACACTCCAGGTAAGCGAGCCAAAGAGCATGCCTAACACGTCTGGAGCGGGCCTCCCCAAGGACGACGAGTGGGTACTTACCTGACAGAGCGGTCACCGAGGGGACCCTCTCAGAACAAGAGGAGGGCATTCTCAAACTCTCCGGCTTCCCCACTCAAGAGTGCACAGGCTGCTCCAATCCCCAGCTGGCCGTTTCCCAGCTCCAATAGTGTTAAGATCCACTCTTTACTTGCCAGCCTCCTAGCCCTGTATGGCTCCTTCATTGCGTCTACTCCTAATTCTGGTTTTTACATTCTTTAAGGCAGCAAAAACATCTTACACACAAAATGTGAACATTCTATGAAAAAGCCCAAACCTACCAGTGAACTAAAGAATGATTATCATAAACAATGCTGTGGTGCTTGTGATGTGTCATCCCGTATGCTTCTTCCATGTAAACATGATCGTTTTCGTTTAAGGCTGTGTCTCCATGTATAGTCAGTTGAATATGAAAATACATAATCGTGTTTTTAAACCTTCACAGCAGTTCGTGGCTGAGTAATGGATCAATCCCTGAGAGAGTGAGTCACTCCAGTTATCCCAAAGACTAAAATAACTATGTGAGTTTAGTTGACATGAGTCAGCCTTCTAAAAGTTGGACACGCTTGGGGTGCTGATCAAACGGGCACTCGGAAGTGGAAGACCAGACTCCATATTCTTGATGAGGTCCCAAAGTGCAGCCATGGCCTGAGGACCTTCCTGAGCCATCACTCTCGGTCTTTGACAATAGCAGCACTCAGGTACCAATTAAGGACGCTTTTCACAAAAGAACTACGGGGACCTTTTCAACAAATACAGTTTGACCGAATAGTACTGTCACCTACAGGACACCCTAAGATTTATTTTCAGTTCCTGACCACTTGCTACTGTCATGTAATTGACCACCATCTGCTGAGAGTGCCAATCTCTGTGAAGAGCTATTTATGTCTTATCTCTACTCTTTAAGATGATCCTGTGACATAGGCATTATTTTCCTATTTTACAGATGATAACATGCAAGTTCAGAAAGTTTATATGCCTCATCCCACATGGATTATAAGTGGCAAAACTGGGATCCAAATGCAAATGTGTCTAGCTCCAAAGCGTTCGCTTTTACTTATTTCTGTTCTGGTATTTCCTGCTGGCTTATCAGAGGACAAATATTAGTAGCCACCTGTATAAGTCAGACTGCAATAAAATGAGCTATCACACAGTAATTGTGAGGAGGGGAGATTTCACATAAAGGATTATTAAGTGTAATAAGGGATTGGAATAATGAGGACTTGTCTAGTAAAAAGTAAAGCAGAGTGGGTGATCGGTTAGCTCAGTTGGCTAGAGCGTCGCTGATAATAACACTAAGGTTGCCAGTTCGATCCCAACATGGGCCACTGCGAGCTGCACCCTTCCTAAAAGAGTCAACTATGCATTGTAGCATGAAAGCAATGTGTAACCAATGACCATGGCTGTTCCCCAATAAAATTTTTTTTAAAAGTGAAGTACAACTCTTATAGCTCAGTGATAGGAAGACAAACAACTATTTGGTTGTCGGAAAAGTCATGATGTATTTTTTCTATGTTTTTCATTGAAAAAAATGCGTCATGACTTTTCTGACAACCGAATACTTTTTTTAATGGACAAAGGATCTGACTAGATATTTCACCAAAGAAGATACATGAAAGATTAGCAACTGCATGAAAAGATGCTCAACATCACTAGTCATTAGGAAAACGTAAATTAAAACCACAATGAGAACCCACTTCACAGCCACTAGAATGTTTATAATACAAAAGACAAACAACACCAAGAGTTGACAAGGATGTGGAGAAACTGGAACCCCCTGGATTGCTGGTAGGAATGTAAAATGGTTTGGTTACTTTGGAAAACATTGTGGCAGTTTCTTAAAAAGTGAAATGACAACTTACCGTTTAACCCAGTGATCCTACTCTGAGGTATTTTTAAGGGAATTGAAAATATAAATGCACACGAAGACATGAACATGAATGTTCAGAGCATGAAGACCTTGAAACAACCCAGTGTCCACCAGTTTGTGACTCAATAAATAAGCGGGATATATCCCTACAGCAGACGATTATTCAGCCCTAAAAGGTACTTTATTGGCCTGAAGTACCAGTCTATGCTACAACACGATGAACTTCGAAAACATCATGCTGAATGAAAGAAGCCAGAGACAGAAGGCCACATGTTGCATGGTTCCATTTACGTGAAATGTCCCCAGTAGGCAAATCCAAAGGGACAGAAAGCAGTTTAGTGGTTGCCTGGGGCTGGGGGTGAGGTTGGGGAGTGACTGAAAGTGGGCATGAGGGGTTTGTACGGGGTGATAAAAATGCTGATGTAACTGGATTGTGATGATGGTTGTACAGCTCTGTAAATGTGCTAAAGCTTATTGAACGGTAGGCTTAAAATGGGTAACATAATTTTTAAAAAAGAAGTAAAGATAACTCTAAAGAATATAGGAATAACAGCTATGCCTTCTAGGGCTGGGGTAGAGCACCCTAAAATTAGCACTCTCCACACCACCCGTTCCACCCCCACACTCTCCTCCAGCCACGTCCCTTGTCTCTGACTTCAACGAAATTTGAAGCAAGCAGACATGAACTCCAACTTCCCACCCCTTCACCGACATCTTCCTTCTCCTCCCGTCTCCAGACCCAGAGAGTGAAGGGACGCTTTGCCCATCTCAGAGCCGGTCACGTGGTCTTCCTCCCAACCCTGCACCGTCCTCCTGGGCTGTGCTCCACACTGGTTCTCCATGTCCTTTAAATGCACCCTCTCCTCCCCCACCGTCCTCTGCACCATATCACGATGCTCATGCCTCTTCCGCCTGAAGAAAAAGAAAATCCCCTTTTCAGCTATGCAGCTCCTCTACCTACTTTTTGAAATTTTTTCCTTCTCCTTAACTTCACCAAAGAATAGTTGGCCAATGCACGTTTCTACTCTTCCCCCGTTTATGTGTCAATTCATAGCGGTAAGGCTTCTGCCTCCATCCCTGCAAATGTACTGCCCTCGGGAAACAAAACAGTAACCTCCCAGTTTCCCAAACAGATTGTTTTCAGACCGCGTCTTACGGGACCTCTCTAACCGTTCTCTTCTAGAAGCTCTCCTCCCCCCGGGCTCCGGAGACCCCAGTTTCTCCTGGTACTTGTCAGGCTGCTGTGACCTCTCTTCTCAGGCTCCTGCTGACTGTCCTTCTGCCTGGTGCTCCCCAGTATTCTCACCTTGGCCTTATTCTCTTCTGAGACCATATTCCCTCCCTGGGCATCTCCATTCTCATGGCTGCATCAACCCCCTCGGGCTGGTGGCTCTGTAGACCCTTCCTCCAGCCCAGGCCTTGCCACCGAGCCCGGGAGTCAGAGATCCAACTGCTTTCTGCACATCTCCGTCTGCGGGGTCTCCCCTGCGCTCCGCTCCAGAGCTCCCTGTCCCAGTCAATCGCCACTATCTACCCAGTTTCTCAGAAAACTTGGGGCCATCTTAGTTTTCTTTCTCTCCCTCACTCCCCAGAGCCAAACCACTAAACTGTACAGCTTTCACAACACAGTTCAAAATCTCTCTTTGTAACTGACCCCTCCTGTCCATCCTCAGTGCCACTGCCTGGCTAAGGGGCAATGTCACTTGCAGTGTGTTTTCGTTCTTCACACTTCAGATGCGGAGTGAGCATCACTGGACATGAAGACCCCGAAGCTGGAGCCCCTTCAGTGATGCTGATGGAAAGCCCGACTGGGGACTCGGTTCTGGGCCCGGGTTTGCCCCAGAGCAGGTGTAATGAACTCAGACCAGAGGACCCAGGCAAAGCTGGAGAGGTGGGTAGACAGGGGAGAGGTAAGGACTGAGCTGAACTGGAAAGCACGTGCCCCGTCCGAAGGCCATGACGCTACTCTGCCCCAGTCAATTGCGAAGTGGAAGTGCAGGCCTAGAGCTGCCAAACACTCTAATTCCCCCCGCCCCGCCCCCGAAGCTGTTATAGAAATTCAGATTTTTATCTAAAATCTTTCTTTTTCAATGTTGAAAATGAATCCAAAATATTTTGAAAACATCACGTTCTCAAACAAAGCGTCCTCTATAGGGCTGACGTGACTTAGTCAGGACTTCCACCAGAGAAGGTGTGCTGTCTGGGGAGGAGCCCGGTAGAGGCGGTTCACGGACGAGCTGAAGGAGACAGTGAAGGCTGGGGATGTCAGCCAGAGGCCCAGGTATGGAGGCAAAGGGACTGGACTAGGGGGTGGCAGTGGGGAGAGCATGCCGCAGACATCCCCCAAGCCATAAATCAACCGAACAAGACCCAGGCAGACATGAGGTCTCTGTGGCATCATTTTCCAAAGGAACCCGGCATGGTCCGGATGCCTGCCTCCATTGCAAAGTCCACTCATCTGCTGACATCTGCCTACACCCCTCAGCCCCATCCCATCCTCTCGAGGTGCCTGGGGGACCTCGGCGCTATCCATATGGCACTGAGGAGGAAGTCTGCCCGCTGGTCTCAGAACTGTCATCGTCTCTCTGCTACCTTACGCAAATGGGAGGCACAAGGAGCGTGTTTCTCCATCTGGATACGCAGAGGAAAGCCTTCCGGACAACCAGACCTTCCTCTGGGAGACAGTGAAAGGAGCGACCAGGGCACATGTGCAAAGCC